GCTTCATGGAAGAACAACCTCAGCTTAGCCTGTTAGCCTTTCCGCTAGCCCTCACACTATATTGCCTTATTTGTATTTGCTTTGCGTTAGTGCGACAAACAAGCTAAACTGAGGTCCTCCATCCACATGACAGAGAGGGGAACACAAAAATGACTCAGTCTGCAACTGAAAATATAGATGGAGGACAACAGAGCTGCTTCGTGGAAGAAGAACCGCAGCTTAGCCTGTTAGCCTTTGCGCTAGCACTGATACTATATTGCTTTATATGTATTAACTCGGCGCTAGCGCAACAAACAAGCTAAACTGAGGTCCTCCATCCATATTTTCAGTTGCAGACTGAGTCATTTTTGTGTTCCCCTCTCTGTCATGTGGATGGAGGACCTCAGTAATGAGAGGAGAATATGTAGTGCTGAGCTAATACATATGTATGGTGATAGCGTTGGGGTTAATGTTAAAGCTAACAGGCTAAGCTGAGGTTCTTCTTCCATGAAGCAGCTCTGATGTGGATCTGGGCTGGATCTTTTTTGGGTGTCAATAATTTTGTTATTGCCTCCTTTGGAGGGTGTGAGTATTAGGCATAGGCATAATTTGCAGGGGGGTTTGGGGGGTTATGACCCCCACAATAATTTGATCTAGTCAATATACCCCCCCCCCCATTAAAATGACACCATTTGCTCAAACACAATAGAAATTAACTGATTAAGTAGACAAATGCAACTCTCTTGTTGTCTTTAGGAACTTTGACTTGATTAAAAAATTACAATGTCATATATGTACATTTAAGCACAAGGGTTTTAGAGGATACCCCCCCCACCCAATGGTAGACCTAAAGTTATGCCCTTGGTATTAGGGTTTGGAGGTGGGGCCCATGAGCCTCAGTGGCCAGGGGCCCCCTAGAGTTGCTAATCCGGCCCTGAATAATATGAGTAATTTTGGATTGTTAAGAAACAACTTGGGATGACTGAAAAGAAATGATCATTGTAACAAACAAAAAAAAAAACAACATGCAGTGGTCTGACTAATAGTTTAGTAAAAGAAACTGGTCACTTACACAGGGACATACATCCCAGTTAGTTAGATCCCTGTGGATAAAGGCTGTCTAATCAATTAAACTGTTCTACTCAAAATAAAACACCTGTCAGTTTTTGCTTTACTAAAATTATGGTGCTCAGTTACGATTAAAGCTTTGTGCTAATCCAGATGCAAACATGTGGAAAGAAAAGCGGATGCTCTCTTGTCTCATATTTATGTGATGTCAAATCCAAATGTTTTCAGTTTACAGCCAAATTAAACACATTGACTCCACTGTTTCAATAGTTTTAGAGAATAGAGAAAAGTGTGTGTTTTTATACGTATTTTCTACATGTATCGCTGTGCATTTTGAATATTTCAGGTTATAATTTTAGATTATTTGAAACATTGAGGATGTAAACAGGTATTTGTCTGATGAATTAGATATGGTTATTCAGAGCCAAATCTGGTTCACAGATTTTATTGATGTAAAAACAGTTTCTTTGGTTTCCTGATCCAAAGGGAGCTGCACATCTCCACAGAACCGGGGAACCAGAGAAGCTCTTCTTCACTGCAGGTAAACGTTTCTTTGGTTCGGCAGAGTCAGAACCGGTTCCTCGGGTTCTGCGTTCTCGCAGAGTCCGACAGAACCAATAGAAGCTGCAGCTGATGTTGCATAAGAACCATCCTGGCTGCAGAGCACCGCTCCACTGGCCCTGCCCCTATCTCTTTAAATAAGACCGAGCCGCTCCGCTCCTCTCCGCTCTGCGCGTGTGTGCGCGTGCGTGGAGGTGAAATTACTGGACAGAGAGGGCCGTTCTGTCATGGAGGACTAGGAGGACTGAAAGCTCAGCTGATCCGCTGTTTTGCTTCGCGGTGAAGAGCTCCGCAGAGCAGGGGAGGAGATTTCTGTGTTTTCTTTCTTCCTGTCTTTCTTTTTGTTCTTCTTCTTCTTCTTCCTCATTTTGACGGATCCTGATTCCGGATCATCGTGCGTCGATGGGCTCGGCAGGCGCATCTCCTGCTCACAGATAGGACGCGGTGCTGCCTCCTAGTAATTCTGCCCCCCCACCCAGCACCCCCTCGCCCTTCCTGCGCCGCAGCGCCGGGAGAAACGTGACCCTGCAGGCGGATCGGAGCGCGCGGATCATGGATTAACGCCCGCGTGGATGTTCATCTGAAAGGTAGGGATGAGCCGGATGCTGCGGTTGAACAGGCCGGAGGAGGAGGAGGCTGAGCCCGCTGTGGAGTGTGTGAGTGTAGGTGTGTTTGGGATGGATGTGTCGGTGGATGGCAGCATCACACACACACACACACACACACACACACACACACACACACACTGCGGATCCTGCGCTCTGCCCAGGTCGTGGACATGGCAGAGAACCCGGCCTGATACCCGGGACAGGGTGGGGGGACGGGGATCCAGGTCTTTGTGTACACAACAGGGCCTTTGGGTGACTGCCGATCAGCCGCATCGGCCTGCGTATTATGAACAAACACAATGACGTCAGCGTCTGCCAGTGACGCAATCATTTTCCTCCTCCAACTTCTCAGTCATCAGAAACATGCTGTGTTGTTGTACCTGTCATCCTGCGCGTTTTTTTCTCATCTTTTCGATGTTTTCGGGTCACTTAAGGCCTGATAACGTCTTTAAATTGTGTTTGAAAGTTGTGGCTTTTACAGCAGTTTATTTTAAATGAGTTGCAAAACCTGGAAAGCTTGTGACAGGTGAATCTCAGAAACACTTGTAATCAAAGACCAAGCATTTCTAGAAATAATTTGTATGGCCTAAAACTTTGAAAACAATTTTGTGAGACATCATGACCCTATAAGCTCTATATTTTGCTTTATACCCGGAGAATTGACTGAATTATAGCTTATTTTAGTGTAAACAGAAGGATCATGAGCCTTTTTTATGTCTTTTATTGAATCTGTTTGAACTTTTCTATAGTTGCTTGGTTTGGAAATCTAAGTGTTCAGAACAAAAACTGCTTAAACAAAATTGTTATTGCGGCAAACAAGATAATCACTCCTTAACAATATTTTTATTTGTCGTATTGTCGACAAAGCAAAGCTTGTCTTACACTGCTCAGACCACCCTGTAAACACAGAATTCCTGCTTCTTCCCTCTGGCCGGAGGTTTAGGCTCCCCAGGATTAAAAGTAACAGATGGAAGAACTCTTTTGTACCCACTGCAATCAGATCTTTAAACTCGTAGTTTAAAATTTTTTAACTTGTAGTTTTTAAATCTCATCTATAAATTTACAGATGGCTGCTTTTTTAAAAAAGTTTTTATGTTTTTAACATTGCCGAAGTTAGGAATCCCTGGCTGCAAAAAACCGTAGGTTTAGAGTTAAAGATGGTGGAACTCCTTTGTACCCAGAGTAAACATATTTTTAAATTTATAGTATTAAAATTTCTTTAAACCTTTATAAATTGCTGCTTGAATGCTTCGACACTGTCTATGTTTTATATCTTGTGTTGTATGTTGGAAATGCTTGGCTGCAAATCAAATTTCCCTCCTTGGGGGGGGGGGGGGGCAAWAAAAGGTAGTGAACTGAACTGAACTATCTTGATAAGTTGTGCTGACCAACTTGAACCAGATCCAACTTGGCCATGTCCTTTTTCTAATGTGGTGTGCAGTGGCTACTCTGTAAAAGTGATGTTTTGCTAACAGACAAGCTATGTAGACCCACAGATACTGATGGAAACTTTATCCCTCCACTTTCAGCATTAATTAAACAGTTTGATGTCTTGAAAAGCCTAATTTTCCCACATTTTAAGGAGTCTAAAAGTGTAATTTTTCACAGATCATATCTTGGTGTTGAATGGAGCATTTAAACAAGCAGACACATATTGTCCTGTCATGTAAGAAGGTCGGACATCTTTCTGACATAAAGGTTTCTGAACCCTAAAAACTAGGCCAAGACTAGAAGCAACACATCTTTAGCAGTTCAGTGTAATGTAATGTTTTTGCTTTGACCTGATCAGTCTTTCACTTCATAATGTGGTGGAATTTTAACCCACTCTTTTCTACAACATTAGTTAAAAAGTGTTATCTTTTACTTTATACATGGTTTACTTATGTACAGTAATGATTCAGACTGATTATTGGTTTTTAGACATTTGTTTATTATTTTATTTCTCTAAAGGGTTTTGATCAAGTTGAGGTCCAAACTTATCTAACACCTTGGTTCTGTTCTTAAGCTATAGATCTGCGGCTGTTTGTGTTCGGTGACTTTGAGTTAAGCTTCAGCTGTCGGACAGAGGGACTCAGATTTAATGTCATCCACACAGCGGTCTGCAACCTGTGGCCCTTTGCTTCCTCTGCAGCAACTCCAAAAAAATGTTTTGGAGATGAATATTTTTAAGATCATCAGAAAAAAACAATAGCAGTTCTCTTGTGCAGTTTTCTGCAGCATGATGCTAAGGCTGTGTCCAAATTCAGGGGCATCGTCTTTTGAAGGACCCGGCCTACCAAGTCAACGTGGGCCATGTCCTTTTTCGAACGTGAAGACTTGAAGTGACTGGCTGTGAATTTGGATAGTCTAGCCTTCAGTTTTATTACAGGCCCCTACCCCAAAGTATGTCCCATCGCCTTTAACCGTGACAATGCTAAAACATATGCAAAGAATGAATTTAGCAAAATAATAATATATTGATATTATTACTATGATAAATGAACAAAATTAGCTTAGAGGAATACATGAAAAACTAAAGGACAAGCTCGTTTGATCAATGATTTCTGACAAGAATAATTTTAATAAAAAAACATGTCTATGCAAATGACAAAAAAACTAACAATACAGCTGCTTTAAACTTTCAATTTTTATGCTGCCAGATTTTTTAAAAAACTTGTACTCCTTTCTCCCTTCACCTCTTGCTTCGTCCATCCTTGCAAGAAAAAAATAAATAAAAAAATCTACTGGTCGGCTCCCATTGCATCTTGGGACAGGATGGGCTGTGAAGGATACAGAGGACATGTCCCTCACATGGTGGGAATAGGACCGTGCAGAACTTTTCCTCCTCGCTCTCTTAACAGATGAAAAAGGAGGCAAACAGCAGACGTTGCTTCRCAAAAAATAAAAATAAAAAGCACGTATTGCTTCACCTGCAGGCTGCAGCTCAACCGAGGAGTAACAGCGTCTCTACCATTATTAAAAGCTGACACGGGTCTGTCCTGATCGCACAGAGGAGCTTTGTTTACGTTTGTAACACGGACGTAGAGCTGACAGTTTACAACACTGTGCAAGTCCGGACTTTTATTCTGAATAAAACTCCGGTGCATGTAAACACTTTTCATGATCGGATTTTGTCCATGTAAACAGTACATTCGGATTATTTAATCTGAATACATTTCAATCCGATTAAAAAATTTTGTGCTTGTAAACATAGCTGACAACAAATATTACATTTGTAGTATTACAACTAAATCCTTTTTTGATGCCGCCACCGCAGTTTGTCCTTCATGAGCCTTCGTAGACAAGATGGCGGCTGCCTGTAGTGGGGACCTGCGACCATGGAGATATAAACAGCTTTTTATAAGGTAAAAATAATAAAACAAGGTCTTTGTCTGCAATGATTAGACATGTTTTTCTAGCTTTTAGCTGACTCCTGCTAAGTTTGGAATGCACCAGGAAGTCATGTTTGGAGAAAATCCTTCTGAGTTTCTCAGATACACCAAGAACACATAACATTGTTTTAGCATTTATTTATTTATTTATTTATTTACTTTTCTTTGCAGTCTGTTCTGTGGAAAGATTTGTAGAGTTCCTTGCTGGCTTGACAAAACTACTTATTATTTTCTATGAATTTTTTAAAAGACATTTTTGTCATTCAAGTTATAGACAATGCAAAGTTATCTCCTGCACCCAAACTCATCAACCTGAAACAAATAGACCAAAAATAAGCTCAGGAAAAAATAAATAACAAAAATTGTGTCAAAACAGAAGAAAAAAGTTACTTAATGATTTGATGACCCTTCATTGCATTGATTGATTGTGTCTTACAAAAACCTGTTAACAACAGGAGGATTTTGTTAGTCTAGTTTTTATATTCATAGAACAGGTTGATGTGGAGAAGTAGCTTCTACTTTTCAGTCAGGATCATTGATTAATACTAAGCCAATTATTAGATATGATTATTTTGAATCTTTATCCCTCAGTCTTTTTTTCCAAAATGGAAATCAGAAAAAACACTTTCACTTGTTATTTATCATCTACCAGGTCCTTGTTCTCAGTTTATGAATTCTCAAACCTTTTATCTGAGAAGGATAAGTGAATACTAATAAAGCAACAATAGGGATAGATTTCAATATTTATAAGCTTAAGCATCACTTTTATTAATTTATGTCTACAAATCAACTCATTCTCGTCATCACTGTCTTGATCTGGTTCTGACATACGGCATGAAGAGTAAGTGCTTAATTGGATACCCTCTCAGTCCTGTTCTGTAGGGGTGCACAAAAAATCATTTTACATCAGAATCGTGATTCTCATTTTCAGAGTTTCAGAATCGATTTAAAATGTCCCAAAAGCAATTTGTATAAATAAAAAAATAAAGCAAATCCAAAGGCTGTCCACCTCTATTTTGTAACTACATGGGACGTTCTGACGTCATCACGCAGCTCTGGAACATATGAATGTGCAGAAAGCACCAAAGTAAAGAGGAAACTACAAAACTGGAGGAAAGAGAGATTCAACCGGCCCTGTCTTCATTGAATGCAAAGATTTGGGCTCATTTTGTTTTTTACTGAATGAGTCTGAGTTTGACATGAGTGAGGTGTGCGAGGTTTGAAGATGAAGCACTTTGGGAACACGACAAATGAGCTCACATTATCAGTTTTGAAGTAAAAATTGATTTTGAATCAAATCATGGCCCCAAAAATCAGAATTGGATCATGAGCGAGTATAAGATTCCCACCCCTACTGTTCTGTCTGACTATTTTTAGTAATCTTTAGTTTTATGTTGATTGACTACACAAGTTCTGATAATAAATTTAATTTCAGTAGATCTTTATTATGTAACCAAATGAAAATCTCTTCTGTTATTTTCCTTCATTTAGCAGAGTAATGCAACAAAGATAAGTAACTTGGATTTTAATGTTACAACTTCAATGCAAACATCATAAAATGAAACTGTTCATCTGAAAAACAAAGTGATTAGTCAGAAGCTTTTTCCT